CATGAATTCCCTTTTTTTTTTTTTTTTTGAGATGGAGTCTTGCTCAGTCGCCCAGGCTGGAGTGCAGTGGTGCGATCTTGGCTCACTGCAAGCTCCGCCTCCCGGGTTCATGCCATTCTCCTGCCTCTGCCTCCAAAGTAGCTGGGACTACAGGCACCCGCCACCATGTCTGGCATATTTTTTGTATTTTTAGTAGAGATGGGGTTTCACCATGTTAGCCAGGATGGTCTCGATCTCCTGATCTCATGATCCACCCGCCTTGGTCTCCCAAAGTGCTGGGATTACAGGCATGAGCCACTGCGCCCGGCCATTAATTCCTTTTAAATCTGGAACAAAGAATAGATAACATCTCCACATCCAAATGCTGGTCATGCTGGTGAAAGGTTTGGAATGTGGTTTCCCCAATCCCAAAGGCGATTAATTAGTGTTCAAAGGAGACTCTCCCCTTAGGTGGTATAAAACTCCAGATAAACTCTGGTTTTCTCCACAGAGCTAAAATCTCCAGGTAGGCCATGTTAATTCTGGCCATCTTCAGGCTTCTCTTTAATTCAGATGACTGCTGTAGTATCTCACCTGGAAATGTTGAAACAAATATCGAATGGCTGGGTTTGGCATCTCACACCATATACAAGAGCTAATCTTGGACAGGTGGGAAGGTAGAGTAGTTACAAATGCAAGCGCCAAAGTCAGAATCCATGTTTGAATCAGGCTCAGACAGCTATTTGTTATGAGCTTCAGGCAAGTGGCTGAATTTATGTGAGCCACAAGCCCTCATCTATTGGGTGAGGGTAATAACGATACTTATCTCATATGAATGTAATAAGGATAAAATGAGATACCATATATCAACAGCACTTCACTTAGTGCCTGGAATATAGCAAGTAATTATTAAATGGTAGTGATTTTCCTTATTTTAATTAAACTTTATTTATGATTGTTTAAATTGCACCTTTGAAAACACTTTTATTTATGAAACCTGACGATGGACTATTTCATTTGCTATTGTAATCCATAGAAGATAATTTTAGAGGTTAAAGGGATATTTCAGATACTATGATTCAGTCTGCTCATTTTACAGAAATGAGAAAACTGAGGCACAGAAACAGGATCTGATACTCCCAGATTTATGCAGAATAGGCTCTAACATTCAGGTCTTCAGCATATAAGTACAGTCCTGATATAGTGTGAAAGGAAAGAGCTTTGGACTTAGAACATCTAGGTTTGCCACTTAAATTTACAGATGTTTGACTTTATCATCATCTGCAAAATGGATATAAAAATAGCTAATCTGAACATTTTACAGCAAATGTCTGAAAGCACTTTGTAAATTGTAGAATATTACACAACTGCTACTTAATATTATGATATCTTCTTTATTAAAAAAATGCAATGCAAACACAGATTCTGAAACACACACATAAGCCTCAATAGGACCGGTCAAGATCATTTTGGTTATCTTTTCGTGGCCTGAGAAATAGATCAGGTTCAAGCAAGTGTGCCTTTTAACAGTGGCCATTTGTTCTCTGCTTCCCTTGGATGTTGAGCCTTCCAAAAGCAGCACCTTGGACAGCAGCCAGGAAGGCTTCCTCTCTGAAGCCTTGTCATTGTGTCAGACCTGACCTTCAGGCACCTACAACATTCTGCAAGCACTTTCTTCCTAACTGCAAGTTACTGTTGCCTTGCGATCTAACTTTTACAGTGAAACACAATCAGAAACTGCATTTCACCTCTATCCTTAAATATTGTGGTGAAGGAGATGGATGGCCCCATGGAATCAGGGTTTTCTTTGACCTTCCCTATTGGACCCGCATATAGTGACTGACAGCCTGCCACATTCTCTAGAAAGCAAAAGTTTGCATTTTCATTTGGCCTGTCAACAAGTGAACTGTATACATTTCAGGACTTAGAAATATTCAGTGAATAAATTTATAATGATGAAGCATACAGCATACACGCTTGAGAATTTTGGGTAGCTTGGCAATGCCAGGATCAGAGTCATCAGTTCTAAAACTACAACAAAAAACTCTAAATTGTCAGTGTTAATTTTGGGTGAGGGTATAAAAGGTGAAGAAGGACACAGAATAAAATTGGAAATAATTAGCAAACCTAGTTTAAAAGGGAAAAATTTTCACCAATTTGCCAATTTATAAACCCACAAAGAAAGGACATAGGAAACAGGACAGGATAAACAAAATTTTTGAACTTAAAAGTGCCTTAAAGATGATCTCAGTATTTAAGTGATTCTACTGAGAAGCATTAATTTGGTAATAGAATTTATCTTGTGCCATTATTATAAATCATTATTTGAGATGAATTTCTTTTTATGAGATGAATGTAGAACTAATGGGTATTTGCTGAAAATGATGGCACTACTATAAATGCATAGGCCTATCTTATGCCAATCCATTTTTTTTTGCTCCCTAAACATAATTTCAAAATGATAAAGCATGGGTTGCTTATTATGAATGACTTGGTAAGGTACCAGGCCCCTAACTGGATGCCACTAAAAAAGCAATCTGACTTAGAATTCTGTTTACATATTGCTCAATTAGTCTTTTCAATATAAACATATTTTAAAAGTTGCTGAACACCTGACTCAAATTTAGTCCCAATACATGGTATTTTTGCCCATTGCTAGAATTTTTTTTTTTAATTGCACCTTTGAAAATGCTTAAAGAAAGAGAGACTTTAGGAATACTCAAAGCTTGCAAAAGTGGAAGTGATGGCATGGATGGAGGCTTGGGGAAAGGGTAAAGATATCACAAACACAAGCCAATACACACGTAACTTCTTACCTTTTCGGCTCTTGATTTGCCTGGGTTTTGGAATCTTTTCTTTTTTTGGATTCCTTTTTGGTATCTTTTTTAGCCTCTGGTTCAGGTGGGGAGGGAGTTTTGCTCCCTTCAGGGTCTGCATTTCGTGGCAGCCCACTAAGGTACACATGCATTTGTTGACTTTGGAGAGGGGGTGGTCGCATGAGGCATGCACAGAGTGTGGCCAGCCATAGGAGAATCAAGAGCACGCGCACATGCACAAACAAAAGAAAGAAAAAGAAGGGTGCATGAAAAAGCAGGCGCAAATGCATTCAAACTAAAATAATAAGAAAAAAAGATGCAAACTTGCATAAGGAAAATCAGAACTGAAAAGAAAATAAGATATCCAAAACTGTTTCCATGACAAGATGTATAAACCTAACTGTGAATCAAGTGGCAGTCTTACAATATGAAATCCAGACAATGTGTATCATAATTCATGATGATGTTTACCAGGGAGTTTACAAAAACACTTCATTATTTTATAACACTTTCTTATTCAGTAACATATGTAGAATACAGTGTGACAACCCAGAGAATATAATGCAACTTCTCTCTCTCTCTCTCTTTAAAAAATTCAGTCCAAGAGGCTGTAACAGATAGTCATCAAAGTGTACATATTTATAAAAAGCAGAATTATGCACAGATACCCCCCAGGTATCAGAGTTTTCATGAGTATCTTTTATGCAAATAAAAGGTCACGTGCTGGGCTAGCAAACCTTATAACAATGGGAGGTGATGATAACCTTGTTGCCTGTTAAATATTCAAACCTACAATGCTATTGTTATCTAGCTCTAAATGTTGAAGTTGCATTTCATAAAAATATACCAGTGCTAGAAGGAGGAAAAGCACAGAAAAAATTCTACAGAGATTTTAGTTGCATAGCTTGGAAAGATGAAGATGACTGACACAGTTCTGATTTAAAATAAATGTAGTCAATTTTGGATTCTCCCACATGTGGATTTCTCCAGAGCAGCGACTTTTGCATCTGAGGCTGGGTTTCTGAAGCCACCTAGTGTTTCCTGGGTGTGGCTTCACTGGCTGTTGGTTGGGGAGCTTTGGGATAATATAGGCTTGTCTTTATACTAATGCAAGGCTACATACATTGAGATAGTAAACTGGCTGTGGCAGTGTGGAAATTTATTCCATGTCTCCAGAGCCAAATGGCAATGTTCTTAAATTATTTGCTGCTTTGCATTATTCAGAACATGGATCTTTTCCTCCAGCAGCTGGGCAAGGTCTAAAGGAAGAGAGTACTTAGTACAGAGTCAGGAGACTTGAGGTTCTGGGCTTGTATATAAAACCTACAAAATGAGGGGGTTGATTAGACTGTGATCTCAAAAGTTCTTCCAGGCTCTATGGCTAAATTAAAAGTGCTGTCATCATCTTTGCCTTCCAGCTTCACCTAGCTTGCTTCAGCTCTGGAAATGTACTTGGCTTCCTCCTTCTGCAGGACATTTGTACATGCTGTTCCTTTTGCCTGGAACCACTCAACTCCTACACATGCTTTAGTTCTCAGCTCCAGCATCACTTCCTCAGGGAGGTCCTCCTTGCCATCTTGCCATTCCATCTGAGTCATGTTTCTTTATTAAATTTTGTCATGGAATTTTATTCCCTTTCCTCAGAGTCAGAGCACCAATCTGAATGTAACTCTGCCCTTGTTTGATGTCTGGCTTTTACTCACCACACATACTAACTATGTATCAGAGTGACTGACACTAAGGACATAATCATTAAGCAATTATGAAATAAATAACAAAAACAAAGGCACATATTTATTGTTTTTGCCATGTTTCAGGCACTATACTGAGCCCTTTATATGTACTTGCTTTCTCTCAACAACCCCAGGGGTATACAATCATCCCATTTTACAGATGAGAAAACCGTGGCACAAAGGGTTTAATTACCAACCAGGTTATTGCTAGTAAATGGAAGAACTATGATTTGAACCTAGATTGGTCTAACTTCCGAGCTTGCGCTAGAAAGCCCTGCTTGCAATTTATTTTAAGTTTCTTGAAAGGAGAAGAAAGTTAGTGCCCTTTGTGGGTGTGTGTGTGTGTGTGTGTACGTGTGCACATACTACTGAAGGAATGAGGACAGGCAGATCCTAAAAGCAAGACTAGCCATAAACCATTGCCAGTACCATTTCTTAAGGATCACCTCTAGACACACGAACACACACTTACCTGTTCCCATGGACATGGGATGCACAGAAGGCAAAGCTGTAGTGAAGAAGGGTGGGGTCGATCATGGCGCCATTTTCTGCCCGTTCAAGCAAGTCTCTGAGGTAGCAGAGATGTCGGTGACACCCTCGGACTCCATTTCGGGCGCAATACTCGTCTAGTACAAACACCTGGCCAGGACTGAACCAGCCCTATATAAAGAATAAAGGAGAGACTTTCTTTTAAATACAGGTTGTTTTCTGGAGAGCTGCTAGAGTTGGGAGTGGCTAGAGAAGGGGACTGAAAAATAGCCAGAGCTAACACTCCTTGATTGCCTATTATGTGCCAACCACTATGCACAGCACATTGTGGTTTAGTCCTCATAATGGACCTATGAGGTACATTCTGTTATCCCTGTTGTAAAGATGGAAAGATCGAGTTCAGGAGGGCATAAAATTTCCCAGTGAGTGATGGAGCTGGATTAGCAGACAGCTTGGTTTCAGAAACAGAGTCTCACCTACTGCTCAAACACTGAACCATACACGTTAAAGGAGTATTGGGGTGGGGATGTGGCAAAGTCGTGGCTACTGGTAAGAGGAAATCATAACATTAATGTTCTACATTCATATAGAGCTTTACACTTAACAGAGAACTTTCAGTTGAGCCCTATAGCAACTCTGTAAGGTAGACAGAGAAGGTTTATTTTACAGACAAGAAAATGGAAACCCTGGTGGTTAAGTGACTCACAAAGATAATACAAAACAGAGGCAGGACTCAAATCCAGCTCTGTCTTATTCCAAGTCTTCTTGTTTTCTCTACTCTAGAGCATGAAGAAATTTTAGGGTTGGTCTACATACATGCCAGGACTTCATAAATCCTTTCAATTTGGAAGGAGTGTTTTTAAAATTTTTAAATGAAGGTAATAACACAACTCTCCAAAGAGAACAGCATGACTTAGTTTTCAAGTTGTGAATCAGATGTAATTCCACTAAACTGAGAGGAACTTCTTGTGTCTGGTTTACAGTTTTATTTTCTCTTCTGATAATTGTTTGTATTCTTATTATTTACTGCTTGCTATGGGACCAGTCCAAACTCTGCTACACAAGAGAATGGGAATTCAGATCTCCAATTTAGAGCAGGTTTGGTGGCATGATGGTATGCAAATTGCTAGCCCCATTATGCACTTAAGAAAACAGGTGCTCAGAAAGGCCAAGTGAGTTGCCACTCAAGGTCACCCTTGAGCAGAGCCTGAAATAAAATCGTGTTTTCTGGTTTCAGTGTCTGTTCAAAGAAAGAAATAAACCAATTTAGGTGGTACTTTGTAAGCTGGAAATTTGGGGCTATTTTAAATATAAACTTAATTTTACTTGGAGGGTCTTCTCTGAGTCATCCATTGAATACTGCTCCATCTTGGGAGAGAAAAGGCAAAAACAGAAAGTGACTAGGGAGCAGGTAGAGGCCACAGAAGTACAGCGAGAGAGGCCTTTGCAACACTCTAATCTTGTATTAGGGATCTGGGAATCTTCAATTGACAACATGCAGCTCAGTGATGCATCCAACGAAAGACGGCATCTTTCCTATTTCAAATTATAAGTTACTGCAGAGGGCGGAGAGTAGTCGAGGCAGTGGGCTGCCCCTATAGGCAACTTCTTTGCCACTCCATCTGCTACCCCAAATGCTAAATCTTAGAAACAACACTGCTGTGAAAGATTAAAATATATTTTCTACGACTCAGATGACACCAAGTCTTTTGTAGATGCCAAAATAGCTGCTTTGAAAAGAGTTGAAGAAATATCAATTAGGAACTCAGTCGAAGACACAGAAAAATTTATGTATCCCTGCTGGTCGGTCTCCAAAACTAACTGAAAAAAAGATTGTAATAATGAGAAAATGGAATATATAGAGGCAGGAGATAAGGTCCTTTTTAATTTCTGTTATTTTCTGAAATTTTGGGATAATGACTAATATATACAGGTATACAAACAAGGAAGGAAGCTATTTTATGCATTCATAATTAATTTTAGATTCTGGACCATAATTTTAAGCCTATAAGTAACTAATGGAAAGCAAGTTTTAATATTTCATTTCTGGTTTAATTTTTTAAGAGAGCATTTATAAACTCTCCTTCACAGTGAATCTCAAAGAAAATTGTTTTAAAAAATGATAATGTGAAAAAGTCTTGAAAATAATATACCTCAAAAAAATTCCTTAAGGGAATAGTAATTACATATAAAAGGGAATGATTTAAGTTCAAAGGCATATTCTTACAAGTTTCATGAATGCCATTTATAATTATGTGAACAATCACATAATTGTACAAAGCACATTTGAGAAAAATTGCCTTGCAATGCAAGGTAAGCTTTTTACTTTTTTTTTTTTTTTTTTTTTAAAGTCTTTGAGACGGAGTCTCGTCCAATTTGGCAAAGTTCAGATTCTTTTGATGAAGGAATTCTAAACCTGAGATAATCAATGAATCTTTCATGAGATACAGATTAATAAATTATTCCACATAATTCTGTTTCTGTTTTTAAGACTATTTTATCTACATTTTTTTATATCTTGGCTTTTGGTACAAAAAATAGAGAAATTTAAAAATTAGAAAAAAGAAAGAGATTGTCATTTTACGTATTAGTATCAGTAATATGTTAACCTTAGTTATTAAGTAGTATAAATATTATATAGACATATATTTCTCAACTTCAGTGTTTAGAATCAGGGATGAGAATTTTCCTCTATATAAAGACATTTCATCATTTTCCCTCATCTTTCTCATCTATAAAGTGGGATTAATAGCATTTACTTTTAAGAATGAAATAACAATTTATGGCTTGAGAAGGAAGTAAATTGGGTCTTTTTTTAGGCTTTTGAATTTGATAGTTTAAAGCCAAAAATGTATCTTCAGAAATCCAATAAAGATATAATAGCACTCCCTTGAATTTAAATCATTTAAATCATTTAAATCTAGCTTTAAAATAGGATTTCAGGAAATATTGATACTCCTGCTGGATAGATAGCTGAATTTCCAAATAACTAAAGCACCATAAAAAATTCCCTCAAAGGGTGAAAAAATGCTGTGAATATTGTGAAGAAAAAAAAAAAAAAAAGCCATCCAAACAAACAAACCCAAATCAATTTAGCTTATGAAAAATAAAGTTTATTTACAAATCATTTTAACCTTTAAGAAAATACACAAAGAGAATACATTCATTTAATGAGATAGAATTACCAGATCTGGGATGGGGAGGGAAGGGCATCTTAAACTCTAAGCTACTGAGGCAATTTTTACAAGTTCTCCACAAGCAGGTGCCAAACTCGATTACCCTCTTGGGAATATTTCTCATGTAGCAGCTGAAAAGGGGGAAGCTAAGATAGGGAGGCTGGGGAATTGGATCTGTTTCTACTGATAACTTCCTCCCGCTCAGTCTTGTTTCTTTGGTAAGTAAAACTATCTCAACCCAGGAAATCGGGAACACATTTATAATTGTTAAAGGGATTCTGTAATGGAGAAAAGAGCTTCTGACATAAAGGTAGATAAATATTTAAATGAAAAAAAAATGTTATGTTTAAATTGCTGTAGACCAAAGAATATACTTGCCAGGCAAGAATAGGAATCATTAAGTCTGTGATCCAAAGTAAGGCGTTGTACCATCTCAAAGAGGGAAGCGTGGTCAAAGTTACAGGGGTTGGAAGAGATAAATTCATCCATGCCATGTTTTTGAGCTCTATCTGCGTCTGTTCATTTATACATGTAGAGAGAGACACAATTTAGAGAAACACATCACATTTTCTTTGACATTTCAAATACACAGGAATTCACTAGACATTATGAACGTTAGCTGTTTCCCCGTTGCCTCCCACCAACATCCCCAAGATATTCTTTTTACCTCCCATTGTCAACTTGCATCACTTACTGGTGAGTTTATTGCATTTAGGCAAAAATATATTGGCATCAACATGTTTATCAAATGATCACATTTCCAGTGCATTTATGTTGTTCTTTAAAAACTAAGCACAAGACGGTAACTTCGCCTGCATTTCACCAAACACTGAAAGCAGATCGGATCTTTGCTTAAGATAGCCTATTTAGCTTTGTTGGTTTTCAATAGATTCTGCCATTCCAGTGGTTATGTCTACAGCAATTTCTCTGCAATTATTGGGATTATCTGAAAAAAGGGTTATGCTGATTTTCAGCAAAGTGACAATATTTATATCCTCTTCTTCCAAATCCGCGTTGCCAATTTGGTTTCATAAAAGGTTTGAGTCCCCACCCTCCAAAATTAAAAATAAAAAAAAAGATTTTCATTGAAACCTGGAGATTAAGTTAAATGGGAATTTAGTTTGTGATAATCAAGGACATTGCCTTATAGTGTGCTTACTCAGTTAGCAAAGCTTAGGAAAGAGACAAACAAATTTACTCAGCAAGGGCTATGATCTGCCATTTATTGTGAATTAATAGTCTCAATGTATTCACACTTTTCCTTACGGGGTGAAGGCTGTAGGCAAAACCTCCTAAGGGCTAACTAATTAATCTCAACACGTGTAACTAAAATACACTATACTCAACTGGCAAAATAACTCGGAGAATTCAACTCGTGTGTGACCAGGCAAATCCTAAAGAGGTAGAAATGAAGGTGCTCTCCATTAAAGAAATTGGCTCACTCCACCTCATCTTTACTGACTCTTCTGATATGCAGACTATGGAGAAAAAGAATCTTGTATGAAATCGAGCGAAAGATTTTATTCATCCTTTTGCAGGAAACATTCTACTGGAATACGGGGACCTGCCAGGAACTAGTGATGCTGTCAGGACACGGGAAAAACCGATTTCTGACTTGGGAGTAGTTTGGATAATATTTTCATATGTGGCCTCGGTTCCAAGCAGCTTATTTTTTTTTTTCCTCTCCCATGCTTGGGGTATGGCTGTAAGCTTGGGTTATGGTTAGCAGTGTGACTTTCAGATGATGATTTCTCCTATTATTACTGGTATTGTATTAATAAATCATTCAAACCTAAATGCATGGTATTGTTAGATTTATACCTCCTTATTGTTTGAATTTTTTTTTAAAAAAGTTGCCATTTTTCATAGAAGCAGCAAGTGGTCCGTGTTTGAACGAGCTGTGTCGTTTATGCCCAAGACTCACAGAAGCAACGGGTTCCAGAAGGCAAGTTGAAGAATGTGTATTTTAACAGCCAAATCGTTCCATTAGAATAATAAAACACAGCTTTTGGAAAGGATATCAAATGCGCAGGAATTATATTAGAGAATCTGAGAGAATCCTTCTTGCTACATTAACTGCCTTAGATTTATCCTCAGGAAAGTGCTTTCAACTTGAGGTTGGCTGCTTCATCTGGGAGGCTTCTTTCAGTTCGGTTGTTTGGTCTCCAAACTACATTTCTTCTTTGACTTAGGATGACCAGGAAGTTGTTGCTCCCGGGAAAGCTAGCTGCTTCTAGGGCATGTGTGTGACTCCTCTGGCCCAAGGCAAGTGTCTTAAACCTGCTCCAACTGTAGTCTCCCCTGGCATAATGACACTCCTGCAATCCAGGTGACATTTCCCTATCCCCTTTGATAGACTCTGCCCTCTCACCTCCAACCTGTCAGTCCCAAATCAATTTAACTCAGGAAAAACTGAGCGTGGGGTACGCACGAATTGCTCATGCTGTTTCATCCTCATAAAAAGCCTCATCCATCCCTCGCCTCCCAATTTTAACAGATAGATCAGGCATTTTGGCTAGCAGCAGCTTCTTGCTCTCCGATTTCTCAGAAAAGGCTGCAAGCTGACAAACCGGCCGGGGCCTTACTCTGCCAGTTTGGCTTGGCTATTTTATTGCCTTCAATTATGATGGTACAACTGGTCATTTAGCTTAGAGAGAAGGGGGCTCTTTTGTAGCTGTTAAAAAAAATATGGCACATGTTTCAAGTCTCTTACTCTTTGTTTGTTTGTTGAAACTCTTGAAAACTTTGCTGATGACCTATTTCGCTTTGCTGGCCACTCAGGAAATGGATCTGAAAAGGCGACTTGGCTCCTCTATGGAGACCTGGATTCAGACCCACTCCCCACCCCCCAGTCCATCACAATGGCTCAATGAATGCGGCTTTGTGGTGCTAATTCTAGGCTAAGAGTAAGTCTAACTAACAATTTCGTTTTTTACTAACATTTTAAAGCAAGCTTACAGAAAAGCCTAAAATCAGTCTGCTTTCGTTTTCAAAAAAGTAACCACGTCAAAACAAAACTTCCTTTTCCCTTCTTCCTTTCTCTCCTCTTTCTCCCCATCCACTTGTAGCATGAGCCTAGGACTGGATTTAGGAGGTCTGGATTTTAATTTGAGCTCTGTTTTTAAATAACTGTAGGATGCTGGCTGAATTGTTTATCTCTCTGAGCATCAGTTTCCTTGTGTGTAAAAGGAGCTGAATTTTCAGTTCCCTTCCTGCCGTCATAGGCTGTAACTTAATGATCCTTAGATCCCTTGCGCACTATGTGTGGAATGGAGTTTAATGCAGTGGGAATTTCCAGCAAGTAAAGCGAGCAGCCTCTGGATTTTACTTTCCCCAAATTATCGTTTACTCAAAATTGGGCTCATTATTCTAATGGTTCCAACAACTCAAGAGCGCTTACAAGGGTGGCTGGCTCCCACAAAGTCTTTGAGTTTCATTGAGTTTATTATATTTACTGAGCTTATTATGTTATTAAAAAAAGGAGGAGGAGTAAGCCGGGAGTGCTGTTTCAAGGTGCTAATGAAAATAATCTGATGTTTAAGCTCATCCAAGCATGGGTTTTCATATTTTTGTTTTTGCCACATTCCCAGCCCTAGAACAGTACCTGGCACATAGTAGGCACTAAGTACAAATTTGTTAAAATCAGAATTTATCTTATCAGAATAAATACAGAAATTTACTCTATTAACAAATATTTTTCTTTCTTGATTTTATGGAATATTTATATACTACATTGATTGGAAACAGCTTATTTAGTGGGAGCTAGCAAAGCAAGTGGTTAAGTGGCTGGGCATAGGCAGGTCACAAAGATTAGATTTGAGACTAGCTCTGCCACCACTAGGTATGTGATACGAGGCAGGTTGCTTAATGCCTCCGGGCCTCCTTGGCCTCACTTGTAAATTGAAGGTAAAATTCAAGTCTACCCTCAGAGGACTGTTGAGAGGATCTGAAGAGAAGCACCTGGAAAGTACCTAGGGCCCTGGCATATATTAAGGGCTCGATAAACATTAGCGAGGAGTAAACAAGCAGGATCTTTAGTGTTTGAAAAGCCAGTTTGTTTCAAGTTGTTAGTGAGCCAAGGATGTCTCTGCATTTATAGCTAACGTTCTATTCCTTCTTTGCTTCTTAAACCTTATCATTTCTAGGAAGCTGGGAGTCCTTCCCTATCTCTCTGCTTTAATTCTTTTCTGCCCCTGTATAACCAATTCCTACATACTGTCTCCGTGTTTTCACTGGGTTATTTTCCAATTTCTCTGTGGTCAAGACACATACATAAAATTGAATCCCTTAGTAGATAACATGTTCCATGAGGGCAAGTTTCTAATCTGTTATTTCCCCTACCAGCTCTTAGAGGAGCCAGGTCCTCAGGAGGGGTTATTAACTGACTTACTCTGACACCTTCATCCCAGGAAACTTCTCATTGACTTTATTAAGGAGTCACACACATGGGGATTCAGATGGTATCTTGCAAATCCAAAAGTAGGAACATGTGCTCTTAGGGGAAAAAAATCTTATAGAAGGAAACAGAATTCTAGGTGCAGGTGTCTTTGGATACCATTCAGATTGTCTGCCTGTGTCTCCATACATGTCTAGGACCATATGCATTACATATGTTGTCTATTTTAAAATAAAACACTGCAGTGGTCCAGCTGTTCCAAATTCTGTTTCAAAGAACTTGTGGGCGCTTCCCAAGCAACACCATACAGTCATTCTTGCACTGTCCCGGTCTGTTCTTCCACAGTGTCAAACATAAAAAAAAAAATGCTCTTGCAACTCCATTTTTCCCTGTACAAACAGTTGGAATTGGTTGATTAAAGCAAAAGAAAACTCCAATGTTGACATTAGCAGAGGGAAAACAGCCCAGAGCAAGAAGTATGAAAGAGTCAATTCCTGAATTCAGGACATTCTGGGATCACTTCCTTTGCCAATATTTGGCATGTGTCAAGAGAATAAAAATGAATGTGAACATCAGGTTAAGCAAAAAGGAATTAGGAGGGTAAAGTGGCTGCTTAAAACCCCAGTGATGTTTGGATGATCTCTTGCTTCGGGAGATGCATCCTAATGCTCTTTTTCGTTAGCTGTATTTTTCTAGAAATCAAAGATTGACATTTTAAGAACCAATTTCAATCATCTTTACCTTTGTCAGACCTAGCCTTAGGAAGTAGTTCCTACGTCCTGCTTGGTCTTCAAGGGCTCCAGATGTACTGATGTACTGAGAGTGAGCTATGTGATTTTATAGGCTCTGCAGCTAGGGCATAATTCAACACACCTTGCAAACATTGCTACCTGTTTCACTTCGGGGGTTTACTTGCATAAGGATTTTTTAGTCCTTTATGACATGGGCATAGGAGACTGACTTCAAACTAAGCTTGGTTGGATAACGCTGATATTGGTACCTACATTAAGAAACTTCAAGAACTGTCAATGGTATCCATGACACAGATGCAGGTGATGAACATACAGACTTATGGAGAGCAGGTGCACTTTCAAGCAGAAACTAGTCTAAACCTTGCCC